CCCTTTGTTTGTATCTTCTTCTATTTCTTTTTTCATTGTGGTATAGTTTTCCGAGTACAGGTCTTTTACCTCCTTAAGTTTATTTATATGTATCTTATTTTTTTGTTGTTGGTAATGGTAAAAGGTTTTGTTTTTGTTTTTTTTTTAGTTTTTCTTTCAGAGAGATCATTATTCATGTATAAAAATGCCATCCATGTTAATTGTGTATCCTACTTTGCCATTTTCATTTATTAACTCCATTAGTTTTTTAGTGGAATCTGTTGAGTTTTCTATGTACAGTATCATGTCATCTGCAAATAATGACAGTTTCATGTCCTCCTTTTCAGATGCCTTTTATTTTTTCTTCTTGTCTGATCACTGTGGCTAGGACTTCAGTACTATGGTAAATAAGAGTGGTGAAAATGGACATGCCTGTCTTGTTGCTGTTCTTAAGGGAAACACTTTTAGTTTTCGTCCATTGAGTACGATGTTCGCTGTAGCTTTGTTGTACATGGTCTTTATTATTTTGAGTTATGATCCCTCTAGTCCTACCTTACTGAGAGCTTTTATCAAAAATGGGTGCTCAGTTTTGTCGAATGCTTTTTCTGCATTCTATTAACATGGTCATGTGATTTTTTATCCTTCATTTGTTAATGTATCACATTTATTGATTTGCAAATACTGTACAGCCTTATGTCCCTGGAATAAATCCCACTTGGGTATGGTGTATGATCTTTTTAATATGTTGCTGAATCCTATTTGCTAGTATTTTGTTGAGGATTTTAACATACATGTTCATCAGGGATATTGGCCTGTAATTTTCATTCTTTATAATGTCTATGTGGCTTTGGAATTAGGGTAATTCTGGCCTCATAAAACATGTTTGGAAGTTTCCTTTCCTTTTGAATTTTTTCAATAGTTTGAGGAGGATAGGTGTTCTTCGAATGTTTGGTAAACCTCCCTCTGAAGCCATCTAGTCCAGGACTTTTGTTTGTTTGGAGTTGTTTGATTACTGCTTCGGTTTCATTAGTTGTTATCAGTCTATTCAGGTGTTTTTGATTTGTTCTGATTGAGTTTTAGAAGATTGTATGTTTCTAGGAATTTGTCTGTTTCTTCCAGGTTGTCCAACTTGTTAGCATATAGTTATTCATAGTATTTTCTTTTTCTTTTTTTTATCTTCACCCGAGGACACTTTTGCATTTATCTTCCGATACAGTTGGAGGAAGAGAGAGAGAGAAACAATGTGAGAGAGACTCATCGAGTGGTTGCCACCCACACAACCCAACCAGGGCAGGGACAAACTGCAACCGAGGTACGTGCCCTTTGTGGGAACCGAACCTGAGACTCTCTGGTCCGCTGAGCCAAACTGGCCAGGGCAATTCATAATATTTTCTCACAGTATTTTGTATTTCTGTGATGTTAGTTGTTACTTCACTTATTTCATTTCTGATTTTATTTATTTGGGTCCTCTCTGTTTCTTGATGAGTCTGGCTAAAGGTTTATTACTGTTGTTTATTTTTTCGAAGAACCAGCTCTTGGTTTCCTTGATCTTTTTGTTTTTAAGCTTTACCCAAGGATATTTTTCCATTTATCTTCAGATAGAGTGGGAGGAAGGGAGAGAAGAGAGAGAGAGAGAGAGAAACATTGATATGAGAGAGACACATCGATTATTTGCCTCCTGTACAACCCCAGCCAGGGCTGGGATTGAACCACAACTCAGGTACATGCCCTTGGCTGGAATTGAGCCTGGGACTCTTTGATTCGTGGGCCAGTGCTCTAACTGCTAAGCCAAATTGGCCAGGGCAGTTTCATTGATCTTATATATTGTTGTTTAACGTCATTTATTTCTACTGTGATCTTTATTATTTCTTTCCTTCTATTTACTCTGGGCTTTTCTTGTTCTCTTTCTAACTCTTTTAGTTGTATGGTGAGATAGTTTATTATAGATTTTTCTTATTTCTTGTGGTAGGCCTGTACTGCTATGAATTTCCCTCTCAGGACTGCTTTCACTGTGTAACATAGATTTTAGGTTGTTATGTATTGATTTTCATTTGTTTCCAGGAAGTTTTTGGTTTCTTCCTTGATTTCATTGGTAACCCATTCATTGTTTAATACCATGCTATTTAGTCTCCATGTGTTTGAATGTTTTTGAGTGTTTTTATTGTAGTTGATTTCTAGTTTCATGCTGTTGTGATCCAGGAAGATGCTTGATATGATTACAGTCTTCTTGAATTTGTTAAGACTTATTTTGTGTCCTAATATCTGGTCTATCTTTGAGAAGGTTCCATGTGCACTTGAGAAGAATGCATATTCTGCAGTTTTGGGGTGAAATGTTATGTAATTGTCAATTTAAACCCTTCTGATATAGTGTGTTGTTTAAGGTTGCTGTTTCCTTGTTGATTTTTTTTTTTAATCTGGAAGACCTATCCAGTGATATCAATGGAGTGTTAAAGTTCCCTTCTATGACTGTATTGCTGTTGATCTCTCCCTTAAAGTCTTCCAAGTGCTTTTTAAAATATATTTAGGCGCTCCTGTATTGGGGGCATGTATGTTTACCAAGGTTATAGCCTCTTGTTGGATTGATCCTTTTAGTATTATGTAGTGGCCTTCTTTGTCTCTTTTATGGCCTTTGCTTTGAAGTCTGTTTTGTCATATGTAAGTATTGCTACCCCTGTTTTTTCGTTTTGTTTCCATTTGCATGAATAAATTACTTTATCATTTAAAAAATGTTCACCATTTTATCTTTGAAGATACCTTGATATAATATTAAAAATAAGATTGCTTATGTAGAGTGTAGACATCTTCTAACAAAAAATATTTGTATTGATTTTTATAGAGAGAGAAAGGGAGAGGGAAAGAGAAAGAGATTCATCAGTGTTAGAGCAGAACATCATTTGGCTGCCTCCGGGAACTGAGTCCACAACCCCACCATGACTGGGAGTCAAACCAGCAACCTTTTGGGATGATGCCCAACCAACTGAGCCAACCAGACAGGGCTAGACATCTCTTTGAAACTACTTTTGACCCGGGCTGGGTGGCTCAGTTGGTTAGAGTATTGTCTCATATACCAAAGTATTGTGGGTTCGATCCCCAGTCAGGGTGCATACAAGAGTCAACCTATCAGTTTTCTCTCACATTGATTTTTATTGTTTCTCTCTCTTCCCTTCCTTTTTCTCTAAAAAACAATTAAAAAAACCTATCCTCAGGTAAAGATTAAAAAAATAAAGAAAAAGAAATTACTTTTGTTCTGATTTTACCAAATTAATTCTGGTGCTGTATTGTATGAAGTAGTTGGTCTAAAAACTCAGTGGAAGAACAGAAAAATGATTATGTCATGACATTGAAGATAGGTTTCTTAGAGAAAAATTTTCCTGAAAATTTGTTATGAGTACCATATTAAAAATATAGCAACCAGCGAAGTTGCAGATGTAAAATGATGGCTTGAATCCTGGCAGGTGATCAGTGCTGCATCGCTGTGGGAAAATGTTTCCTGTGGTCCAGGCCAGGTGTGTAGTAATTGACTAAGCAAACCCTGAGGGCTTAAGAAGATACATTATGGGATGGACGAGAGGGTTAGTGCGTGTCCTGAATGAGGTCGAAGGAAGAGTCGTTCATTCCAGCCTTAAGGGGCGGCAGGTTGAGGAAGATTTCATGGATAAAGTAGATCTTGAAAGACAGAGTTTAGGTAAGTGATAGTAGCTGAAATTAAGGGTAGGAAATACATCTGAGGAGTGGAAGCTCTGTTTCCCCTAGCTGTACATACAACATTCTTACTCACGAAAGCTGTAACTGTCTGTGCGTCCGCACCCTCTGGAGAAACCATTCTGTTCCTCCTTTTAGTGATGATGAGTGTCCTTCCCACGTGTCATCTGACACGTGCTTGACTGGAACTGCACTGGCTCATGTCCACTCGTCTTGTCATCTCATGACGCCCTTTTTGATATAGAAACATGATTTCCTAGTTCTAGGCCTGTTTCCTTTTTTTTTACTTTATTCATATAAGAAAAATGTGAAGTGATTCTGTCCTTTGTAAATAGGATCCCAGAATTATAGAGTTTACCTGTACCAGTCGGTCAATTTAATATTATACCATTTAAACCCCGTGTACTGTAGTGAACTGTAGAATTCATTAAAGTAAATTTCTATACTGAGTCTAACATGTGTTAGTAATGGCACAATATTGGGTATATTAGAGTAATTTGTTAGTTATTTTTACTATATATTTCAGAAAAAAAAATTTTTATCCTCACCCAAGGACATTTTTGCATTTATCTTCAGATAGAGCGGGAGAGAGAGAGAGAGAAACATCCATGTGAGAGAGACATCAACTGGTTGCCACTCACACGACCCCAAATGGGGCTGGGGACAAACTGCAACCAAGGTACGTGCCCTTAGCGGGAACCGAACCCAGGCTTCTCTGGTCCGCGAGCCTACGCTCTAACTGCTGAACCAAACCAGCCAGGGCTATATTTTAAAAATCTTTAATAATTTATGCCTGGCCTGTGATGTTGAGTATATGAGTAATAGGGTACTTAGTAATCTACAAAGAAAGATTTGCCAGTTTTCTTAATTTCTGACCTTTAGCAATACCACTTCCCATTTACAGCTTTCTTTCATTCTTTTCCTGGTAACTGCTAAGAAGTTGATCTAAAGGGCAGCAAAGAAAATACCCTGGGGTAGTAGTTCATTAGCATTATTTTCAGATCTGAGTACTGGGAATGTTTGTATTTTCCTTAAGAAACAGCGTTCACTTTTATGGCCAGAGCCTCAGAGATGCCGTGTCCAGAGAGAGCACGGCTGGTGTGGTTGGACAGGAACCACTTAGATGTCTTCCGCCAGCTCACAAACGCAGATGGTTAAGGAGTCTTACTTTTGTTAGAGATTTTTTGCCCTATGGATTGTGTAGTGCTTAGAAATAGCCTTGCATCGACTCTTCCTTCACACAATAGCAGATCTTTTGTCAGCAAGCCTCAAACTCTAAGACAGGCCTGCAGTAGAGCATCACTGTGTCTGCCTCGTAGGTATGTGAAGTATGGCTCGGGCCCAGCTCGATTCCCGCTCCCGGACATGCTGAAATATGTCATCGAGTTTGCTAGTACAAAACCTGCCTCACAGAGCCCGTCTCAAAGTGCCTCAAGCTCGACACTGCCACTCCCTTCAGTGCACTGCCCAGCGTCCGCCCCGACGTCCGCCCTGACGTCCAGGGACAGGTAATGAAAGCAGGTTTGAATAGTGTGTGTGTGTGTGTGTGCGTGTGTGTGTTTGGTTTAATTGGGACCGTGCACTATCTTCCCATCAGATTAGCACTCACCCCGTCTGAGCTCGAGGTCTGCGAGCTCTTTGCCGTAAGGGGAAGGATTTTGCCAGCTGACCCGTGGGAGAGTGTTCATAGTTCCCCCCAGTGTACTCGTGCTGCCTGCAGAGGTTTGGCTTATTGCGGAGGCCTCCTGACCTGTCCGGAGTAGTTCACTGTGCACCAAGCCGGCCTTGTTTTGAGCTAGCTCTAATCTAGCTGCCACCAGCGGTCTTTCTAAGAGGAAGTCTCAGCCCTACTCTGCCAAACATCTCCTCCCCCTGCTGAAAGTGTGCGTGACTAAGGAAACATCAGGAAAGACTTACTCATAAGTAAACGTAAAGCATGAAGAGAACTGGCTGGCAGTGGCAGAGGGCGGCCTGGAGGGCCTGTCCGGTGGAGAACGGCAGGCGAGTCTCCCCCTCGACAGTTCTGGCCGGGCCACGTGCAGCAGCCTGGGGGAGCCACGACGGTCAGCGCGGATTACCTTTGCTGTGTGTGTCCCAACCACAAAAACAAGCAGAACACATGGACTTACTGTGAAAGGTTAGGTTTTTATTTTTGTAAGAAAGACGAGGACTTGCCTGCAAGGCCACTTGAAACTCGCACAGCAGCAGTTCCATCAGCACATTGCAAAGCACTTCAGGCCAGGGCCCCGCGCTGCAGACAGTTTATTGCATAAATGACGTCTTACAAACAGTGCAGCCGCTGCTGAGGTTCACATCAGCTTTCCGTCGGAGGGCGGGCGTGAAGTCAGCTCACCTGAGAGCATCGCAGCTTCCGGGGAGGGGAGAGGGGCGGCTCTGCTGCTGCCAGTCTCGGGGAGGGCCGGGCCTCGCTCCTGCCACCTCCTCGGGCACCTTTCGGAACAGAGTATACTCCCGGGCCCAAGGAAACAGGGCCAGGCGCAGGCGGCACTGCCCACCCGGATCGGGGGCAGTTTGGGTGCATTCAGGCTGTTTGCCGTGGAACGTTAATGCGGGTTGGGGGTGTGGGGTAGGGTAGGGAGAAGGAGCTGCCTGCATTTCCTTTCGCACCAGCAGATCCTGTTGGCACATCCAGAATCCTCCACTTCTCACCACCTCACGACATCCTGGCCTGGGTTATGGCAATAGCCCCTAACTGGTTTCTCCCCCTGTAGACCTTCAACACCGAGTCAGGACGACTCCCCCATTTAAAATATGTCAGATGTGCTCCTCTGCCTGGAACCCTGCGTGGCTGCTGTCTCCCTCAGAGCTGGCGGGAAGGTCCTTTCTGTGGCCCGCGGGCCCTCCGTCACTCGGACCTGATCTCTCTCTCCCCTGCGCTCCTCTTCCAGCCGCTCTGGTCTCCCCCGTGTCCCCGACGCGTCAGTGTGTTCCCATGGCAGGGCCTTGCATTGGTCTTCCTGCCTGAGCCGCAGAGCTCGGCTCCTGCCTCCCTCCCTCCCTCCTCTCTTCCATCTCCTCAAATGTCACCTAATTTGTGGGGCTCCCTTGGCCACCCTGTATGAAACAGTACACTCCCCAACTTAGACCCCACGGTTTACTGTTCTCCATAGCAGTTCTGATCCACTGCCCATACCATATGTTTGCTTGTTAACCCGAGTCCGTGAGGCTAGGGGCTTTGCTTTGTCCCCTGCCGTGTCCCGAGCACAGCACAGCGCCCAGGAAATATCGGCCAAATGAGGGGGCAGTGCGCCTATGTACCGCGTGCTGCTCCCCACTCCTTCCTCCTGGGGCCTGCCACCAAGGTCCAAAGGACACACCATCCTCTCTCCCAGCCTGGCCCAGCCTTGAGACTTCAAAGCATTGCAGAGGGCCTGCCTCCTCCTCGGGGACCCTGACAACCCAGACACAAAGCACTCCTCCGGCATGGTTACCACTATCACACGGGCTGACAGAAAGGTCTCAACGAGGCTGGCGTGCAGACCAGGGCCCTCTGCGCTCCCCAAGCCAGGGCCCAGGAGCCCGGCCAGAGTTCTCTGCTGGGCCTGCAGACAAGATGAGAGAAAGAGCTGGACTCGGTGACACACTCCTGTTGGAAGAGGACGCCCACTTGAGGATTAGAGAAAAACTAGGCTATGGTTATTTAACCTGTTCTGGGTTGGGGGGCGTGTCTAGAATGGGTTAAACAACCATAGTCGATTTCTTGATTCTTCCAGGCCCAGTCTTTCCTCCTCTGAGCTCTCCTCTCCTTCAAGAGGCAGCATTATAACAAGTGGGGAGAGAGCATGAGCTGTAGACTCGGCAGTCTGGGTGTAACACCTCTCCATCGTTTACTAGCTGGGCGAACTTGGGCAAGGTGCTTACTTTCTGAAACCTCAGGTGTGTGGTTGCCTAACAGGGACAGTAGCTGTCTCATAAGCAAGTCGTTCAATGAGATGGTGCACATAAAGGGAAGGTTCGGCTCAGTACCTGTGCACAGGAGATGCTCACCAGCCGTGTGTACTTCCCAGACAGCAGCTTTCAGAGCGCTAAGTTAGACCGAGGCGTGTGTGGGAAATTTCCCTCTGAGCACGATGTGTGTCCCTTTAGTGCGAGTGGAGAAAGCTCTCCTCAAGATGTTGAAAGTCCCTTTCCTGAGGATTGTCTGCACGAGTCCAAGTCAGAGGGTTCGCCACTGCCATCTTCGCGGTCTCCCGTGGAAGTGCCTGCACACCCAGCGCCCCGGACCGTCTCGGACGAGGAGATCAGCTTCGTTAAGACCTGTCTTCAGAGGTGGAGGAGTGAGATTGAACAGGACATACAAGGTTGGCTCTTCCAGAACTTGTCGAGCAGCTGCTCTGTGTCCTCTCTGTCTGTCTGCACGTTGGGAAGTCTGGCGCCTTGGGCGCGGGCGCCGCCATCGCCCTCTGTGCCGCGGAGTTTTGCTGTGTGTTCTGTTGGACTTGGGCAGGGGATTGTGACTCCTCTTTAGCTCCCTGTGAGACTGGCCTCACACTCGTTATACAGCTGTGGAGGAGCCCCTCCTGGATGCCCTCCTCCCACTTCTGGGCTTCCCGGGCAGCTCAGGCGCTCACTTGTCTGTATGGCCACATGGTCACGTTGCTCAGGCTTTTCTTACTCAAACCCTTCCTTCCTTCCTTTCATCTGGGAGCCGAAAGTAAAAATTCAGATTCCTCACAGGTTCTTTTTTTTTTTTTTTTATGCTATTGATTTTTTTAGAGAGGAGAAGGGAGAGGGAAATAAAAACACTGACGAGGAGAAGCATCAATCGGCTGCCTCCTGCACGCCCCCTACTGGGGATTGAGCCTGAAACCCGGGCATGTGCCCTGACCGGGAATCAAACCAGGACCTCGCCGTCCCTGGGATGAGCTCCATCCCCTGAGCCACACCGGCGGGCCTTCCAGGTTCTTACTCAGAAATTGAGCCCTGCCTTGCCCTGCCCCCTTCTTTCAGGTCTTGTCTCTGCGACATTTATTTTGCACCCAGTGACCCATCTTTTTCTAAGTAGGCTGTCTCTTAAGAAATTTTGGTGCCAAATATAAGACATAATATTTTTTCAATCTTAATGTAATTATATTAAACTAACAGGCTTCATAACCTGAGGCACTAGCTGCTTTAAGACTGCTCTCCATGGCGCCAGCGGTGTTGTCACCAGCCCCGTGTGGGTGAGCAGTGCTCTCTGCTGAGCTGAAGCGCCCTCGCGGTTCCGTGAACTCACTTTAACAGTTTTCTTCTTTACCAGATTTGAAGAATTGCATTGCAAGCACTACCCAGACTATTGAGCAGATGTACTGCGATCCTCGCCTTCGCCAGGTAGAACACGTTAATGGGACAGTGGTCAAGGCCCGTGACAGTGGGACTAATAGTAGATACAAAAAGGAAATTGGATATAGGAATACACTTAGGAAAGAAACAGACAGTGTTCTGTTTTGCTTTTTTAAAAAAATATTTTTTCTTTATTGATTTTAGAGAGGGAGAAAGAGGGAAACATCCATGAGCCAGAACATCGATTGGCCGCCTCCTGCACGCCCCCCTGGGGATCGGGCCCACATGCTGGGCATGTGTCCTAACTGGGAATTGAACCAGCCACCTGTTGGTGCAGGGTCGACGCTCAACCACTGAGCCACACCGGCCGGGCCTGTTTTTTAATTTTAGGCTAAAAAAAGCAATATATCTTTTGCCAGGAGTAGAATGCAAAATATATTTGTTTTGATTCTACCACGTGTTATTTTTTGATGTATTATAAAGATTTCTCATACTGTAGTAGTTTGAGTAGTACAGTGGGGAAATCTGAACTAGGGGCCAGTCATTTGTCCTTTTCAAAGTACCGTGACCCTCTGTGGACCAGCGTGCTTTCAAGGTTGATTTCTCCTCTGATTCTAAAAGGGAGGCAGGCAAGGCAGAAATCCTAGCTGTCCACGTGAGTGTCTGTTTAGAATAACTTCTGGGCATGGAGAGGGCGAGGTTCTGGTCAGGCCTGGCTGCCCAGTGGCTTCTGTGCACGTGGCTGGAGGAGACGAGCTCTGTCCCCAGGGTTGCGTGAGGCGTGGTTCGGGTGCCTGGGAGAAGCATCATGCAAATCTTCGTTCCCCCATTTTCTCTTTCATATTATTTCAAAAATTTCTCCACCAGTAAAATCATGTCAAGGTACTGATTAAGTATAAGTTTAACTTGATTCTATGGCCGACTTTCCTTTTTTCCACCGATAGTTACTTGGCACTGAATTATATTGTATTAGTTATTGCATGTTGTAAAAAGAAATGCCCTTCAAATGTTGGAACAAACAAGTATGTGGTTGAAAGGGTCTGCACCCTAGAAAGCTGAGCAGTCACTCACAGAAGAAATGTGAGGACCACGCACTGATTCAGGATGAAATGTGCCGACTTAAAGGTTGGTGCCAAATAAAATAGACACCGAGCAAAGTAATTGCTAAACTTGTAGGTCCCAAAGGTGGTCAGCATTTCTCTCAGCATACGTGGTCAAGGTGATTCTATTTTTAGATAAAGTGGATTTGGAATTCAGGGGATAAATAGGTCTAGCTTATCTTTGGTTTCAGATATATAATCGTGAGAGTCTAGAGTTGAACGAGGTCTCAGAGGAGGTTATCTAGTCAGTTGTCTGGTTTTAAAGACTCAGGAACTAAGATTCCAAGGCTGTGTTTTATTAGTTCATCTTGAATCACCAAGATGTTTTGATGTGAACCTATAGCAGACACATACGTACTTTTCTTATGACTGATAGTTGAGAATAATCTTGAATTTTAATAACCTAAACTTTTTTATATCTAACTCAGAACTATGCTTTCTGATTTGCAGGTGCCTTATCGCTTGCATGCAGTTCTTGTTCATGAAGGACAAGCAAATGCTGGACACTATTGGGCCTATATCTATAATCAGCCCCGACAGGTCTGGCTCAAGTACAATGACATCTCTGTTACCGAATCTTCCTGGGAAGAACTTGAAAGAGATTCCTATGGAGGCTTGAGAAATGTTAGTGCTTACTGTCTAATGTACATTAACGACAAGCTACCCCACTTCAATGCAGGTAAAAATATCTTAGTAGGAGCCAGAGATGGGGGAAATCTCTACTGCTCAGGGAAGGGGGCATAGTATTAATAGTTTTAAAAAACATTTAAGCTCAGCCAGTGTGGCTCAGCGGTTGAGCGTCAACCCTGCACCAAGAGGTCGCAAGTTGTACTCCTGGTCAGGGCACGTGCCCAGGTTGTGGGCCTGATCCCCAGTGGGGGGTGTGCAGGAGGCAGCCAATTGATGTTCTCTCTCATCGATGTTTCCATCTCTCTCTTCCTCTCACTTCCTCTCTCTCTAAAGCCAATAAAGAAAAAAAATTAAAACAAAACATTTAACCTAGAATTTATTATAAAGTAACAGTGTATTTTAAAAAATACAAACAGTACAAAAGAATAAAGAGGAAATGTAAGTTTGCTCTTCTGCTCCCTTGAGTCCAACAAGTGTCCATTGTTAGGTTTCTTATGTAGTCTTCAAACAATGCTCTATACAGGGGCTATATTTATTTATTGACATTTCTTCCCTGTCCCATTTTTTCCCCCCAAATGGGATATTTTTTCATTCTGTTCTACATCCTTTTCATTGATTGTGTATCTCAGTAACCTCTCTATTTTTATAAATAAAATTAGCTCATTCTTTTTTTATTTATTATTTTTAATCTTCACCTGAGGATATGCTTTTATAGATTTTTTTCTTTTTCGAGAGAGACCGAAACATCAGTGTGCGAAACATCGGTCAGTTGCCTCCAGTACGTACCCCAACTGGGAATCAAACCCGTAACCACCTGAGCCACCTGGCCAGGGCTCATTCTTTTTAACAACTCCATAATAAACCATTGCATGGAATATATGTATATATATATATATGTATATATATATGTATATACACATATTATATCAATTATATATTATATAAATATATATTAAACCAATCTTTCATCGATAGACTTTAAAGTTGTCTCTATCTAGTTTTTTTCTTTTTTAGTAACATTTTGTATACATATTTTTATACCCTTTGGAAAATAGCTAAATTTTACAAGTGGATTTGCCTGAATAATTTCATACTTCTCATAATACTATTACTAATGCTAAGATCAATCATATTTATTATTTATATTACTACTTTATACTGCATGCTTTCAATTTTTATTTCTCTGATAACTTACAACTCTTAAAAGGGAGGTAGGCAGGGTAGAAATTCTTATTACCCACATTTTCCAGGTGAGGTTCTCTAGTTGTTCAGTAAATAAATGGCAGGCCCATGACACAGATCCAGTTCTGACTCCAAGTGCCGTGCTCTTCACTTACATCATTCTCTCTGCCTTTCCCGTCTTCGCTGAGAGGTCTCGTGGCCAGCATCGCGCATCTGAGATCGCAGAGGGCTTCCTCTCAGAGTCACACTTGACTGTCGCATAGGCATCAACACACCAGGCATTTTGTCCAGGCAGCACCTTGTCTTGCTGATTTGCTAATGAGATTGGTGGAGGGGGTAGAGGAGGGATCACATAACAATAATCGATCTTCATAATTGCATATTTGTAGGGTGAAAGCAGGGACAGCTATTTGTGGAAGTTATTGTACAAATGTGCTGGGGGTTGGTGTACGGGAGCCTTAGTATTACACATATGACTCATTTTTCTATTATAGAAGCAAGCGAGTGGAAACTTATTTGCTTAGTGAAAAGACTAGTTAATGGTAACCAATAAGTGGATGTGTTGTTCTGTAGGTTTTGTTTTGTTTTGTTTTGGTCAAAACAAAATGGGTTAGAAATGGAATTTAACGTGTCCTTGATATCCGGTCGTTTTCCCTCATAGCTTTGGATGAACCAGGTATTGGCCATCTGACTGTTGTATCACATTGCTTTCTGGTAGCACTTCATTGTGACACTTGAGACAGTACAGATGTCTTGGAAATCATCTCTAACCATCTTGAGATAGATATTTTTATCAATAATAGATGCAGTGGTTACAGTGACAAAACTGCTTTGCTTGAAATTTTCACTGGATCTAATGATTTTTCTGAATTTCCAAGAAAGGTTTGGTCCATTTATACTATTTTGCCAGTGATTGGCTTCTAGTCCAAATCTTTCTTCATTGAACAGATATTCAATGCATGCCTGTCTACTAATAAGCTGGGCACTGTTATTTGTTTATTTATTTTTTATTTTTTTTATCCTCACCCGAGGACATTTTTTGATATTTTGTTCAGATAGAGGGAGAGGGAGAGAGAGAGAGAGAAACATCGATGTGAAAGCGACACATCGAGTGGCTGCCACCCACACAACCCAACCAGGGCTGGGGACAAACTGCAACCAAGGCACGTGCCCCTAGCGGGAACCGAACCCGGGTCTCTCCAGACCACAGGCCGACGCTCTAACCACTGAGCCAAACCGGCCAGGGCTGGGCACTGTTATTGATGCACTCTAACTGCTGGCCTTATATTGTCAATACTTTTGATGGATTATGTATGTGTATGTATTTCGCATTAGGAAGGACATTCGATTTGTCCGTCTTTGTTCTTTCTCAGGGGCAGCCCCAAATGAATCAGATCAGATGTTGGGAGAATTGGAAGCCTTATCTGTTGAACTTAAGCACTACATTCAGGAAGATAACTGGAGATTTGAACAGGAAATCGAGGAGTGGGAAGAAGAGCAGTCTTGTAAGATCCCTCAAATGGAATCCTCTACCACCTCGACACCACAGGATCTGTCGACGTCACCAGGTACCCAGGGGGGAGCGTGTGCCGGTGATCGCTGTTCACGCTGCCCTCCTTCAGCAGCCCGAGCGCTGCCCGGGGGCGCCGTGTGCGCCTGCAGCGCCTGCAGGGAGGCCCCGCACCGCCGGTGTGCAGCTGCGTCGGTGGCCGTGCCTCCGAACATGCCGCCGAGTAGCTGCCTGTGCTTTTCCGCTGTTCAGTATTTGCTTACTTCCCAGGTTGTAGGAGGAATTGTGATAGGCTTAATAGTAGACTTTATGGAAGCGATTCTTCCACCAGATCAAAAATATGATGATGGCAGGCAACTAGACTTTGGGTAGGGAGCACGCAATAGAATACCCAGATGTCGAATTCTAGTCTTGTACTCCTGAAAATTTTATAATGTGATTAACCAGTGTCACCCCTGTAAATTTAATTTAAAACCAATTTATAACAGCATGAATTGTAATGCTGAATGCAAATGTAAATGTGTCAAAGCTCAAGAACTTTAAATACATATATATATATATATATATATATATATATATATATGAAAATTTCTTTTTTAAGAACAAAAGCATGTTTGTAGGATGTCTTCTTGGTATAAAGGCGTATGATGAGCACGTTCAGTTCTACAGGATCTCAAGGGCTTTTGCTAGAGTGGCTCTTCCAGTCCCAGTTCCAGGGAAGCTTGCATGGATCTGTTTTAAAGGTGTTAGAAGAGCTCACATTAGCCTCTGCATCCGTCCTGCTCGCCTTTACAGTGTTCCAGACGTTCCTCCTCAGGGCTAACCCTCTGCACGGTTCTTCACCAGAGCCCTCGGCAGCCCCCGCGCACGGGGCGCGCTGCCTGTCCTCCGAGCACGCTGTGATCGTGAAGGAGCAGACGGCCCAGGCCATCGCCAACACCGCCCGCGCCTACGAGAGGAGCGGCGTCGAGGCGGCCTTGAGTGAGGTGGGGCGCCCAGGTTCCCGAGGGCGGGCTGGCAGCAGTCTTTTCCACTTTTCTCACATTTCTGCGACTCCGTGTCTCTGCTGCATTTACGTCTTCTGTTTTTCTCTTACTCATTCTCTCCATTCTGCTGTCACAGCATAAGGAAGCTGAACCCAAGAAGCCCCTGCCCCCGGGAACAGACCCTGCAGAGCAGTCAGAACAGCCCCCAAAGGCTCTCGATGCAGATTGTGCTGCCCCGCCTCGTTCTGAGGTCTCTGAAGTCGAGATTCCCAGTGTGGGAAGGATCCTGGTTAGGTCTGACGCAGATGGCTATGATGAGGAGGTACAGAGCCCAGTGCAGGCTGGGCTGCTTGCTGTCAGCCCTGCGCCCTTCTCACGTTACTGAACGCACCTGACAGTGTCCGGCAATGGCTAACCTTTCCCTGTTGAAACTAATAATGGTGTGACCCTAGTTACTGTCTCTAAGAAGACAGCCTGCTTCCCACTGTGCACTCTCCCAGTGTGTCTCCAGGCGCATGTTATGGGCCCTGCAGAGTTTAGACGGCTCAGAGAGATGGGATTCAGCTCCTTGTTTGGCATGGGGAACAAAAAATTGCCCTTTAAGTCAGGAGTCTTTGTCTCCGGTAGTTAATTGTTTTCCTCCAAGTGTAACATTTTCAGATGTCCGGTGAGCCAGACAGATGTAAATTGGAGTTGTTTTTAGTCTAAGTTAGGGAGACGCTGTGGGACCCCAGGCTGTGGAGCTCCTTACGGTTGTCGCTCACCGAGACCACTACAGATCCTGTCCCTCAGGTCTGTTTTTTCCTGTGAGATACGTTTTTAAATCATTGAAAGGTTTTTGTTGTATAAAGTCATATTTGTGTATCCCTTAGTTTCCAGACTATTTTAAATGTCCCGTTCATTCTAGTAGAAGTCGAAAGCCTCTGGATGTTTAGGGTGTACCCAAAGCACAGGACTGCTTGGAACTCACCGCAGACACGCCCCCGAGAGCTCTGATCCGATTGGTGCTTTAGCAGTGCCGTGTGGGTACTTGTAGACATCCGCATTTCCTCACCTGCGAGTTACGGAGAATGAATAGAGACAGCTTGTCTCGGGCAGGGTCTTGACCTCGTGTCGAGGGCAGTGCCGTGTGCGGGGGGAGTGGAGCGACTGCAGCAGAGGCTGACCAGGAGCACGCCGCCTTCGTCTGCTCGCTGTCTCCTGCACCCTCCTTCGAACTCTCCTCTCCTCTTTCTCTGTGTTTGTGCCTTCTTGTGGTAGGTGATGCTGAGCCCTGCCATGCAAGGGGTCATCCTGGCCATAGCTAAAGCCCGTCAGACCTTTGACCGAGATGGGTCTGAAGCAGGGCTTATTAAGGTATCTCTGTTTTTTCATTTTTCATCCTTATACCACAGGTATCATAACAGTGGGGTGGCAGTTCTACTAGATGGTAAACAGTAGGATTAAAATGTCTCATTGAAGCAGAACATAAAACTCCCTTTCCTGTCTGACTGATGGATGAGCTCCCACCGGAGCGATCGCGCCTGCTCTGCGCGCCGAGGCCCATGGTCACAGGTGTTCTCTGTCCCGCGGCCGGGGCTTGTCACGGTCCTCGGGAATGTCCGGGAATGTCCGGGGCTTGTCGCCGTCCTAGGGAATGTCCGGGAATGTCCGGGGCTTGTCGCGGTCCTCGGGAATGTCCGGGGCTTGTCGCGGTCCTCGGGAATGTCCGGGAATGAAGCCGGGGTGGGGACGTTGCCGCTGGGATTAGGCGGCTGTGATGTGGGGAAGTAGGCCGTGGAAGGCACTTGAATAAAATTTAAGGTATGTGAATAAATTGCATTTATGTGGATTTTTAAAATTTGGGTCCTTTGACTCAAGGATATGCCTGAATAATTAAAACTAAATTTTTTTTCTGAGAACTTCATGAAACGCTGTCTTTTATGAGTACATGAGGATGTCCCTGGTGCCAGGGGAGTGTTGTCCTTAGGAAACGCCAGCTCACAGAGCCCCGGCGCCTCTGTAAACCGCAGTAGGAGGGACACACCCCTCTGGCCCGCGGCAGCGGTCGCACAGGCCGCAGGCCGCAGCCTCCTGACCCCGGCTGTCCGCAGGCGTTCCACGAGGAGTACTCCCGGCTCTTCCAGCTGGCCAGGGAGGCCCCCAGCCCGCGCAGCGACCCGCGGCTGCAGCACGTGCTCGTCTACTTCTTCCAGAACGGAGCGCCCAAGCGCGTGCTGGAGCGCACCCTTCTGGAGCAGTTTGCAGATAGAAACCTCAGCTACGACGAAAGGTGAGAAGGCCACAGCTGGACCCCCTCCCTCCGGGCCTGGCGGCCGCCTTCCCACCCGGGAAGCGTGCCCCGGCCTCACCGCTCCCCGCGGTCCTGCAGGTCCATCAGCATCATGAAGGTGGCCCAGGCGAGGCTGAAGGAGATCGGTCCCGACGACATGAACATGGAGGAGTACAAGGTGCAGTGTTTCTCTCCGTCGGCAAAGCCTCTCGCCCTGATTCCTGAGGCAGCGCTAACGATTCGGTGACTCGTTCCTACCCATCCCCCCAAACGAAGTACAAATGAATAAATGATCTTTTTGTACCCTCAGAATAGCTGGGGTTTTTATATTTTCTTGTCAAGTGAATCAACACTTTCTTTTCTTAAATACGTGCTGTAGCCTTGTTCTAGGCAATAAAATTGTTGAACTCATGGTTGGGATTTGTTTTTAAATAATAGAGGTTTCTGATATTTCTTTATTGGAAATTAAATTCCTGTGCACTAAAATGCATAGCTAGCTACACATTTTTAAAAAGTTTTGTGTTGTATGTAAAACAGCATCACATACCACCTAAGGTGTGCCCAGCACACTTACTGAGCTGGGCGCTGCCCTGTTTGGCCGGGCAGCCTGTCCTCCCCACGTCTGGTGGTTTTATCACAGCTGGGCGGGTTGTTCACTAACCCAGAGCTGGATGGCTTTGACCTGGTGTTGGGCTTAAGACGAGTTCCTTTTTTTTTTTTTTTTTTTTTTTTTTTTATCCTCACCCGAGGACATTTTTCCATTTTTTGTGCAGATAGAGTGGGAGGTAGAGAGAGAGAGAGAAACATCGACGTGAAAGGGACACATCGAGTGGCTGCCACCCGCACGACCAACCAGGGTCGGGGACAAACTGCAACCGAAGTACGCGCCCTTAGCGGGAACCGAACCCGGGTCTCTCTGGACCGCAGGCCGACGCTCTAACCGCTGAGCCAAACCGGCCAGAGCTTAAGACGAGTTCTAAAGCTGACGTGAAATACATCGGAAGGAACAGGACAGTAAAAGTTAAGGTCCACAGTGGGCTTGTTCTGGACGCTCAGTGTTCTTGGGCAAGCGTGTGTGTTGCCGTGTGCCTGGCCGTCTGTGCTCAGGAAGTACCTGACAGTTTACAGCTCCCTGTGTGGGCAGTGTGCAGTCGTCTGTCGTGGTCATCACCATTAACAGGAGTCTTTCCTTTTCAGAAGTGGCATGAAGATTATAGTTTGTTTCGAAAGGTGTCCGTGTATCTCCTGACAGGCTTGGAACTCTATCAGAAAGGAAAGTAAGTGGGCTTTTCATGTCGCTAAGGTAATTGGTTGGGACTCTGTTATTTATTGATCCCCACCCAGGAACACGAAGTCACAGGTGCACCGCCTCCCTGTCACGTGTACAATGTCACAGGCGCTCCGCCTCCCTGTCATGTGTACAATGTCACAGGCGCTCCGCCTCCCTGTCACATGTGCAGTGTCACAAGTGTGCCGCCTCCTTGTCACATGTGCAGTGTTACATGCCTCCCTGTCACGTGTGCAGTGTCACAGGCGTGCTGCCTCCCTGTCACGTGTGCCGTGTTACATGCCTCCCTGTCACGTGTGCAGGGTCACAGGCGTGCTGCCTCCCTGTCACGTGTGCCGTGTTACATGCCTCCCTGTCACGTGTGCAGGGTCACAGGCGTGCACCGACTCCCTGCCACACCACCTGTCACACCTCCCCGCGCTCCACTCCGCCCAGTGTGAACTCAGTGTTGCTCTGACCTCACACTCGTGTTCTCATCCTTCACATAACCATAGATTCGTAGTAAAGCGATGTAGTGGCCAGATTTTCCTTGTGATGCATGAAGACGAACTCAGAGAATGAACTTGGGAGCCGGTGTGACCTGAGCGGGCATCTCAGCCCCGTCTTTGCTAGGAACATCGAAGCCATGAGCTGCCAGGCGTGGTCTGGGGCGTGTGGCCACGGGGAAGGCCGAGGCAGTGCAGGCTTTGGCCTGGGCTCTCCTGGTGCCCGGGGCTGCTCCACCTCGCAGCCTGTCCCGACGGCGGCCACGTAAATTCCGTCTGAAGGAGCAGCGAGGGCTAAGCCCTGGGTTTTGGAGAAGGACACTCAGCTGTTATTTCCTGCCGTTTTCTAAGGTACCAAGAGGCCCTCTCCTACCTGGTGTACGCCTACCAGAGCAACGCCACTCTGCTGACCAAGGGGCCCCGCCGCGGGGTGGAGGAGTCGGTGATCGCTTTGTACCGAAGAAAGTGCCTTTTGGTTTGTACCCTGAGCTTTGCGGTCTTGGTGGCTGTCTTCACCTCTGTTCCTGGAGGCCAGGGAGAAATTGATCTCCAGCAGGTTCCAGATCTTCCCAGACTCAAAGGAGCTTAACATCGAAACCAGTTATTTAAGATTACTTAAGTGAAATCATTCTTCTTCAGTCGGATAGAAGTTAGGATGAGAATGAATTATCCCTTTTGCTGTGCCCTTCATATGTACCTGCCTTTTATCACCACCTTCCTGAGTGCTCTGTGCACAGGTTTGCTCGGTGAGCTGTTTCGTCTGGGTCTGGAAGGCCGTCAACACGTCATAAACGTGTCGCAGGAATGCAGTGTCTTTCTGTGTTCCTTGCAAGTAGATGCGGTTAGTGACTCCGCCAGGGGCCCCAGCGTTTTGAAAGGGATGAACTTGAGGGCGGGCCCTGCCGCGCCGACACTGTCCTTGCTGGACTCCATGGGTGGTCTCCTGGCCTCTCTCACTGGCAGCCACGTGGGAGGCAGACCCCAACCCCTCTGCTTGCCCAGGGGTCACAGAGAGCAGCACAGGGGGCTTGCCCTCCACAGGTGCTGTCGCTCTTCCACCACGGCCTCGTGGGAGCCCAGTGGAGGAGATCGAGTCCTAACTGCACTGCCCTCGAGCTCCGTGTTCTGGGTTAGACGTGGGCTTCTGGGGGTCACGGGTGTGGCAGGGCATCTGGAAGCTGGAGAAAGGGACCTGGAGATGGCATGGGTCCGAATTTCAGCAGTCATACTTTAACTTTTTAAATCACCGCGTACAGATTACATGCGGAACATCCTGCTCAGCTGCCCGAGGTGGGCAGCGTTGGTGACTTAGATGGTCCCCAGCGCTGGCTGTCACCCTCAGTGGGCGTCACGATCCCAGGTGGCGATGGGCCTGGGCCACTGCATGTGTTGTGCAGGCGACTCTGGTGCTCCATGGATGGGAGACGGAACAGCCCCCTAGTGGGAGTGGTGCTCAGGCCCCGTCTTGGCGTGTAAGTTTAGGCCAGTGGGTCAGAGACTTAGCTGCATGAGAATCACTTTGGGAGCGTTTAAAAAATCCCAGTGCCCAGGTCACCTGATCCCAATCACATCAGCTTGGGGGGAGGGACAGATGGTTGTCAGAGGTTCCACAGGCCATTCCAGTGTGCAGTCAAGTTTGGGGACCACTTAGGATCTTCTAAAATAGTTATTTTCCTCAGACTGTTTTTTCGCTCTTCCTTCTCCCTGTAGGAGCTGAATGCCAAAGCAGCTTCTCTCTTTGAAACCAATGATGACCACTCTGTGACAGAGGGCATCAACGTGATGAATGAGCTGATCATTCCCTGCATCCACCTCATCATCAACAACGACATCTCCAAGGACGACCTGGACGCCATTGAGGTCATGCGGAAACACTGGTGCTCGTACCTGGGCCAGGATATTGCAGGTGTCTGCTCTCAGCTCCCAGCCACCTCTCCGCCTCGGAGCCCCGAGCTCACGGGTCTCCCTCGGCGGGCCCGTGGGAACCCTCAGATGTAGCGGAGTCAGGGTAGATCTGCTCTGCGGGAACAGGGCGGGAGCCCGGGCCTCCGTCCTCTTGGCCTCCCCTCACCTCCTGAGCATGTCCACCGACGTCCCTGCTCTCCAGGAATGTCCGACTTACATTCCTGTTTCATTTGCCAGAATCTGAACTCTCATAGTTCAGAAGTCAGAATCCATTCATGCACGTGCCTGCCTGGTGCGGTCACTGGGCGCCTCTCCGGCATGAAGTATCAGGACATCGCATTGACCGCGATGCCTTTGAGACGGATACATTAGTAACTGGGATATTCTCGCCTGTCCAGAGTATTGCAGGGAGGGGGCCTAAAATTAGTTATTTTTAGAGGAGTTGGACAGACTTAGAAAGTTGGTGTATATTCTAATACGAATCCTCTCTTTTAGTTCTTACCGATGAGAAGATATTCTGTTGACTTGTTAAACTGCTCAAGTTCACAATATTTATTGAAAAATTCTGTTATAATTAGTAGATATGAATTTCAATTTCGTGTCTTCAGTGTTTGTTTAGATCATATGTAATACAAGCTTTACGTTATGCTCTGTGTACACACTATATTTTAATCATTTGAAAGAAAGCACCATTATATTTAGGTACAGAGGTTATGTCTGCTTCCCCAAGGTTAGCAGGATGGTTGATTAGAGCATCAGTGCATAATGAAGTCAGTGTGGTGTTCTTCTGCCAGGGGACAGGTGGCTTCCAGCAGTGACCTGGAGCGTTGATGTATTTGCCAAGTAGAGCTTTATGGGAGGCCTTCCTAAATAGTTGTAGACTTAGCTAGTTTTTATTCAGATCTATTTAGCTGTGTATGTAATCATCCATTTTCTCTCCACAGAAAATCTGCAGCTGTGCTTAGGGGAGTTTCTGCCCAGGCTTCTAGATCCTTCTGCAGAAATCATTGTCTTGAAGGAGCCTCCAACTATTCGACCCAATTCTCCCTATGACCTTTGCAGCCGATTTGCAGCCGTCATGGAGTCGATTCAAGGGGTTGCGCCGGTGGCGGTGAGCTAAGTAAGCTGTCGCGTGTTCAGGCCCGTCCTGGTCTGCGGTTGCCTGCCTGTTGAACAGGGGGCTGTTATCACGGTGTGGACCTTGGGAAAGGAACTAGGTGGAAAAGGAAGATTCAGATCCAGACCCCACCCATGCTGTGTGTGTTACAAAGGATTGAAAATAAAATTGCACTTTTTACGAACAGAATCACTAAACAGTTTCCCTGAAAGAGGCAGGAGCCGGTGCAGCAGGGACTGGACTGTGCAGGAGACCGGAAGTGCCTCGCACTGGCGAGAGCGCTCGGGCTCCTCGAGCCTTGGCCGCTTTCTGAGTTACTTTCGGGCACCAGCGTCTGGCAGCAGAGGAGAAGGGCGAGTCGTGGAACCTGGAGCAGACGAACAGCTCTGGTCATTACAGATGACATCTGAGAATTCCTAACTGCCAGAGATGAGACATACAAAGCTTGCCTAGCTCTCGGCAGGAGATGACAAGTCGGGGTGCTGATAAACCACCTTCCTTTTCCGTGTGGCGAGAACACAAAGTCATTTGGCCATAAGATGCTGAGAAGTCAGAAGTGGCCTCTCCTTTCTTTCTTCTCTCTCTCTTATTTTATATTTTTAAATAAACCGGAAAACCTCATGCTCAGTCCTCAGTGAAAGAAAGGACAGCATTACGGACTATAGGCAGAGTAACGTTGTGAAACTTGACTAACGAAGTGGGTTGTGTGGTTGTCGATTTTGGTTTTTAAATGGGAAAGGGAGTGGATGCATACTCTTGGGTGTCCCACAGTAGTGCAGTTGACCCTGTTCTTTTTGGTGGGGGAGCCTTTATTTTATTTTTTTATTTAAGTATAGTTGGTATACAATATGTTAGTTTCAGGTGTACACTATAGTGATTCAACTTACATATCTACGAAGTGATCACCACACTCGGTCTAGTAGTCATCTGTCACCATGCAACTTAGCACAATATCCTTAGCTTGTGTCCTTCGACCTTCCCCATCCCTCCCCCTACCACCACGCTCCCACAGAACCACAGCACCAGACCCATAGAAACAGATCCAGCGGACGGTGAAAGGTTCTGATAGTCGTCAACCAGCCAGGCAGTTTCCAGGGTCTGAAATGGTCAGAAATGTCTCTGGCTGCTGCCGGCCCAAAGAACATGATGCTCTCTCCCTGTTCGCTTTGAAAAAATAAGGGGTGTGGGTTTGTAAAAAGAAAAACCAACTTATATGTATGTATATGTAGAGAGAAATGTCCCCTGTTGACCATTTTTTAAAGTTCCAGTTTGGGTATTGTGGTTTAACCAAATTTTCACATTAATGAGGGCCTTGTGGGAGGGAAGGACGCTTGATACATACAACTATGCAGATTTTATAAATGTGCAATAAAAGTATTTGTTTTCCCTTTGGCGTGCAGTTACTGAAACATGTTTTCTGGTTTGGAAATGGAGGGTTTGGTGAGCACTGTCTGTGCCAGTTTTTCTGTTTTGAAGGAAAGTAGACTGAGGGTTGAGGGGCGCAGCGGGGTGCAGCGGGAGCCGGCCGCGGGCAGCCCTGAGCAGCACTGGGCGGCCACCGTCGCCTCCCTGGCCATGTTGCGTGTAAGGGGCCCCTCTGTGACTTGTCCGATTTAGAAAGCAGAACATTTTTAACTGAATTTCTTATGTTTGGTTAAATTAATGATTTGGTCATCTTTACAGATACTCAGAGGTACCTTTTGTGTTTTATTAAAGTTACTGCAAAGATTTATTTCATGGAAAATTGATCAGTTTTCTTACCCATTGATTACCTTCCACTGTTTAAAATTATAAACCATTTGCCTTTCACTTTTAAATCCCTGTCATTATCGAATACTGTGCAGTTATATTATTTCACTTCACGTAACAACCCTGGGATGATGTCATAGTAGTGGGGCCAGGACACTAGCTAGCCCTTGGTGGGCTCACTTCAGAGCCTGTGCTTTTAACAGCTGCTCAGCTGTACTGAGGACTCTTGTAAAATGCTGTGCTTTGCACCTCTGCACATTAGTTATTCCTGGGCAGCTGCGGGAACCTACAGCGGCCAAGGAAGACAGACGGTGTCTAGAGTGTGTGCTGTTGAGTAGTTTGCGAGATTGTAACTCACTCAGACCACCAGGGGGCGTGCTGAGAAGTCATTTCTTTTCCCTCACACTAGCGGGCTGCCTGGTACAGCCTGGTTTCTTACAGGCCACACACTGCTTCAGGCTGGGGATGGTTTTTACATGTTTAAAGGGTTGTGTGAAAAGAATGAGGAGGGCCTGGCCTGTGTGGCTCAGTGGATTGAGCATTGTCCCATGGACTGAGGTCCCGGTTAGATTCCTGGGCAGGGCACAGTCCTGGGTTGCAGGCTCGATCCCCAGTGGGGGGTCTGCAGGAGGCAGCCGATTGATGTTTCTCACATCGATGTTTCTGTCTCCCTCCCTCTCTAAAAAAATCAGTAACAACATTTAACAAAGAAAAGAATGAGGAGGAGGAGGAGGAGAAATAAACCTATGTGTACTTACCTAAATGGATTGAAGAGTTTGGGCAGGTCCTTGACCTCAGCATAAATTCCCTCGACACTGAGTTAGACTTTCCATGGTTAAATGGAACTGCAGTCCTCTTCTGTTTGGACTTGTTAGCTCTTTAAAGAACTGAGGCCTAAAAGCTCATTTTTACCCGACTCCAAGAAAGGTGTGAAATGCATACATACAACATTTAATAATGAATAAACTAGAAGCAGTATTGAATGTGACCCTGAAATGTAGCAGGGATAGGACAGAAGGGAGCATTAATTGTAGTTATAGTTGATTCATTTTCACGATTCAGTTTAGTGTGTGAATATATCTTATAATTTATTCACTAATTGTTATTTGAGTTGTTTCCAGTTTGGGGCTACTGATAACTGCTACCAGGATCATTCATATATGTGTCTTTTGATATACACAGGAATGCATTTCTGTTGGTATGCAACTGAGTGAAATTACTGGGTCATGGAAATAGATACAGTGTATCTTTCCTGGGGGCTCCCAAGTAGTTTTCCAAACCACTTAACACCAATTTAAACTCCCACCAGCAGTTTATAAGAGTTCCAGTTGCCCCATATCCTTGTCAAGATTTGGTTTGGTCAGTATTTTTAAATTTGTCTTTCTGGTAGATGTGTGATGATACTGATTTAATTTGCTTTTCCCAAATGCTAATGATGTTGAGCATCTCTTTATACACTTGGTAGCCTTTGGCTATTGTCTTTTGTGAAATACCTAGTTAAGTCTTTTGCCCACTTTTTCATTGGATGTACTATCTTTTACTTAATGATTTCATAGGAGTAAAAAGCATATCCCAGTTATGGAAACTTTTGGTTTATGTATTATATAGCTTCTCCCACTCTGGTTTCTCACTCTTGATACCTTTCAATGAAAACAAGTTTTTTGTTGTTGTTGTTTTGTTTTGTTTTTTGTTTGTTTGTTTGTTTGTTTTTTATCCTCACCAGAGGACATTTTTCCATTTTTTGTTCAGGTAGAGTGGGAGGGGGAGAGAGGAACAGAGAGAGAGAGAGAGAGAGAGAGAGAGAGAAACATCGATGTGAAAGAAACACATCGAGTGGCTGCCACCCGCACGACTTACCAGAGCCGGGGACAAACTGCAACCGAGGTACGCGCCCTTAGCGGGAACCGAACCCGGGTGTCTCAGTACCGCAGGTCGACGCTCTAACCGCTGAGCCAAACCGACCGGGCGAAAACAAGTTTTTTTATGTTAATGTAGTCCAATTTATCAGTCTTTTCCTTCATAGTGCGTTCTACGCCCTGTTGGGAAATTATTACCACAGTCATGAAGATATTCGTGTTATCTTCCAGAAGTTTTACATTTCACAGTTAGCTAATTGACCCGCACCATTTATTGAAAACACTGTCTATTTCCCAGTGCTGTACCTTTGCCATAGATCAGGGTCCACGTAGGGCTCTGTTTCTGGGCTGTGTCGTCTGTTTGTCTGCTTACACCAATATCACACTGTCTTAACTAGTATAGCTTTGTAAGCCTTCATTTCCAGACAGTAAATTAATCACTTATTAAATTCACTTATATTGAACTCTTCAAGATCGTCTTGGCTGGTCTTGATCTTTTATATTTCCATGGACATTTTCGAATCAGTTTGTCAATTTCATACATGCAAACACAAATCTCTAGGATTCTGATTAGATTTACAGTGACTATAGATAATTTGGAGAGAATTAATATCCTCAGATCTATGAACATGGTATATTCTATTTATTTAGGTTTCCTTTAATTTCTGTATAAAAGTCTTCCACACCTTCCATACAATTTATTTCTGGATATTTTTCAAGCTATTGTAAATGTCATTTTTTAAAATTCCATTTTTTTTGTTGTTCCTGGTATCTAAACACAAATTGATGTTTTTATATCAACTCTGTATCCAATAGCAGTGATAAATTCACTTATTTTAATAGTAATTTTAAAAGATTTTCTGTGTACACAATTATGTTATCTATGCATGATGACTTTTATTTCTTTATTTCAAGTTCTTATAACATTTATTTTTCTTGTCTGGTCACACTTACTGAGACCTCAGAGAATGCTGACTGAAAGTGGCAATAGTGGGCTTCCCTGTCCCCAGTATCAGGGTAAAAAGCTTTCGGTATTGACCCTTAAATATGATACAAGTTTTTTGTACATTTTGTTTATCAAATGTACAGAAATGTACAGATAGACTGATTCCTTCTATTCCTAGTTCGCAAAGAATTTAAAAATTATTAATGGATGTTGAAATTTATCAAATGTTTTTTTCTATCTTAAAATGGTTACATGGGCCTTTTCCTTTATTCTGTTCATATGTGAATTACATTATTAATTTTAGATGTTAAACTATGTGTTGCCAGTGTAGACTGAATTTTATCAGGATATAATTTACATGTATATGGGATTTGGTTTTCATATGTTTATAATTTTTGCATGTTTATTCATGAAAGATTGTTTTTTTGTTTTGACTTAGGAAATATTCTCCCGTTTTCTATTCTCTGAAGAGTTTGAATAAGATAGAACTGTTTATTCCTTAAGTCCAGGAGAATTCATCACCGAAGCCATCTGAGCCTAGAATGGTTGTGTGTTTTGTAAGAATTATGTTTGTTATTCTCTTTTGCAAGTCCCCCGTTCCCCACACCCTAGCCCGGCTGTTTTAATTCTAAGTGCTGCAGTGATTCTTAACCTTAGCCACCCATCCAGAATCAGCTATATTGCCTTTTTTTTTTTTTTTTTTTTAATTCTCAGCTGAGAATATTTTTCCATTGATTTTCAGAGACAGAAAGAGAGAGATCGATGTAAGAGACACATCGATTGGTCACCTTCCGCATGACCCCAACCAGGGCCGGGGATCAAACCACAACTGAGGCATGTGCCCCTAACTGGAATCGAACCCGAGACTCTCTGGTCTACGAGCCGATGCTCTTACTGCTGAGCCAAACTGGCAGGGCAGCTATAGCATTTTTAAAAACAGCTGCCAAAGCCCTGGCCAGGTAGCTCTGTTGGTTAGAGTGTCGTCCTGATATGCCAAGGTTGTGGGTTTGATCCCCTGTCAGGGCACATACAGGAATCAACTAAGGAATGCATAAATAAGTGAACAGTACATCTCTGTCTGTCTCTCTCATCAACACTAATAATTTAAAACGCTGCCAAGGCCTCAACCACACAGATACTGACTTGTGAGATTTGGGCTGGGCCCCTGAGGCCTTCATGCTTAGAAAGCATCACAGGTGGTTCCGACACAGTCATGGCTGAGAACTACTTCATAGAACTTTCATGCCTACCTAGAAAGTGGCCTCTACATCGTCATCAACACATGCAATTCTATGGATTCATTTACAGAAACTTGTTCAGTAACAGTCACAGGCTTTCATGCGTTCTGAATGAATATGTTCCATCTTTGGCACATTCCTCATGTTAAAATTGACTTTGATGGAGGATAGAAAAATAGTTTTTTGTATAATTAACCTTTCCTTTAATTTCCATAAACACATCAGTTCCCTAAAGTTTGCTTATAACTCAACTTCTCAGCAATTCAGTCATTAACATTCCTTTTCCCTGAACCATCAGCAAAATGCAAAGACAGCCTACCTACTGGGAGGAGATATTTGCCAATGAATACATTCGATGAGGCGTTAATATTCAAAATTTATTTTAAAAAACTCATACCACTCAACACCAAACGAACAAACAATACAATTTTAAAATGGGCAAATTACCTAAATAGACACTTCTCCAAAGAGAACATGCAGATGGCCAATAAACATATGAAAAGATGCTTACATCACTAATAAGGATCGTTTAGGGACCTCTGGGACATCAAATGTAACAACATTCACACCATAGGGGTACCAGAAGGAGGAGAAAGAAATTGATAACCTATTTGAAGAAAACTTCCC